TCCAGGCGAAGGTGTGGTACATCAACCAAATGGAATAGTATACAGCATGGAAAACATGCTGAAGGCCTGAAGGCCTGTAGCATCATGCTAACAAGGCTCTGTGCAGACTGCCTCTGTGCTGGGTCACTGCTGCGTAAGTGTTACACAGGCACATGTGTGTAGCCGGAGATGACTTCCAACAGTGAAAGCTGTGTGGGAGGGTGGTTACAGATGTTTTTCTTGCCATTTTTTTTCTGTTCACATTTTGCTAAATGTGTCATAAAAATGTAAAATTGTATTTCCTTTTCCTGAAGTCAGAGCTAATCCCTCTTACTGCTATTAACACCAGCACAGATGAGCAACTGTTCATTCTGCCCTGGCTCCAGACATGCTGCCCTGTGGCCAGTGGCTCATGTGTCTCCCTCATCTGTCAATAACAGGGGACCTGCTCCAGGGCTGAACCCCAGTAGAAGGACACCTTGGGGAGTACAGCTGGCCCCAGGGGAGTCTGTCAGTGAACAGCAGGGCCATAGCCAACAGGAGCGCCAATCCGGGAAGTGCCGAGGGGCAAGCTCACGGCGCTGCTGGAGTGACGCCCCCCACTTGCCCGAGCTCTGCGGGCGGGCCCAGGCTCTGCTCAGATAGCCTTGCCTTTGAGCCTGTCCACGCCGGTGGGACCACGGGTGGCCACTGGCCCCCAGTTTGTCCATCAGATTCTCCTGGGAATACGAAATGAGAACCAAGAGAACATCGATTCTTCACGTACCTGGAGCTCAGGCCCTGTCATGTGTGAGCTGGGAGGCTCTGGGGTCTCTTAGGCCTCTTAAGAGGATAAAGAAATCAGAGAAGCTGCTGTGCAGAGAGAGAGAGACGGAGAGAAAACCAGGAAACAGATGCATGGAGGGGAAGGAAGATCACAGATGAGAGAGATTTCAAGTGACTTTTCAGCTCCTGGTCGTGGTGTCTCTGAGGTCCCTCTGTCATCTTGCCCTTGGTGTTCTTCTGAAAGTCCCCTCACCCTGCTGACCTGCTCCTGTGTTCTGCTTAAAATCTATATCCGTGTTCTGGGACTGCTCTAACAAATTATTACAATCTGGGTGGCTTAAAAACACAGAAACTTATTGTCTCACAGTTCTGGAAGCCCTAAGTCTGAAATTGGTGTCAGCAGGGTTGATTCCTTCCGTTCCTTCCAGAGGCTTTGATGGGGAGCCTGTCCCATGCCTCCCTCATCTTCTGGTGGCTTCCCTGGAGTTCAGTGGCTCGTCCGTGCATCATTCTGCTCTCTGCCTCTATCTTCGAATGGCATTCTCTCTCTGTGCCTGTGTTTTTGTCCAAATCTGCCCCTTCTTACAAGGCCATCCTAATCCAGTAGGACATCATCTTAACTAATTACATCTCTGAAGACCCTATTTCCAATTAAGGTCACATTCTAAGATGGACATGAATGTTGGGAACAATATTCAATCCAGTATAAACCTTGTTGAGTTGTTCTGTTACTTGAAACCCAAATAAAAAGCCCCATGAATACAGAAATTGATATCGGATACTGTGATATCTGATACTACAATATCAAAGGTGGGATGTTGGAAGAAATAGTTTTTCAAAGAAAGTATTGAAACTAGATGACTTGAGGCAGAGGGAGGGGCCATGAGGACTCCCTATCCTTGGGTGGGACACCAGCAGTTCCTGCTATGTGGTAACAGATCAGTAAAACTATTTTTAGTGGTCTCACTGGACTCCCAATATGTGCCAACCAAGGCTAATGCTTTAGGAAACTAGGTAGGGAAATATCCAAGTTACCAGCATGTGAGTTGCTTCTAACGCTTTCAGAAGGCGCCACAAGAGAAGCTTCAGCTCAATTCTGCTCAAGGTTACGGAAAAGCAGGGCAAGTGTTTAATTCTGTTAAGTGAAGTTCTTTTTTCCCAGAGCCAGTGTCAACCAGGCATCAGATAATCATGCATTTGCCACGCAGCAGCAGCCGCATCTTCTTTATAACACTAAGGTTGGCACACAGAGCAGCCTAGGACCTCAGCTAATAGAGTGGGGATATCTGGGAAGAGCCATGGGTGTGAATAACCCTCAACCTCTGGTCTCTCTAAAGCCTCTCGTTGTGAAGTGGCATACAGGCAGGCAGGGGTAGCATCCCAAGAGAAATTAGAGAAAAAGCCTTCCTTCTACCCCAGGACAAATGATGATTTCCTCTTCTCAGCCCTAGGCTGAATGAAGAAACTAGCCACCATGCTTGTTGCTAAGCAACCCCAGCCCTGGGGCATGGCCCAGTCTAAGGCTTAATATTCAATTGGAAAGGATATTATAGCATTGGTTATTGGTAAATGACTTAATCCAGAATAAAATCAACAGGCAACCAACTAGGGTTTTATGAGGACTAAAGCCCTAGGAAGCCCTAAAACCTGGCAAATTGGGACTTGTGATGTCTTACTCTCTGGATGATTCCTAGGCCCAGGTACCAGCCCAGGTACAGGGCAGCTGCATCCCCAAGACCCTCTTAAGAGCAGGCCTGAAAGACCCTTGACAAAGGTTCCCTTCCCAGAACCTGGGGCAGCCTCAGTTGCCACCAAGGAGCAGGGAGGGTATCGGGCAAAGCAAACCCTGTGTGTAGCTCGCTCCTAACGTCTCATTTACTCGCCCATCTAGAAGATCACGGTCTGTGCTAAGTAGGGCGCTTCCCTTTTCTGCTCTATAGATCAAGGATGGGAGGAGAGCTTAAATTTACCGCTTACCTCTCAACTGAGGGAGATCCTGAGGAGCCACCTTAGAGGAGACTTAGCAGAAATAGAGGGGGTGGGTGGCAGCTGGGGGTGGCAGCTCTGAGAATGGCGCCCTGGACGCAATCATTTGCCAGGTCCTGGATTGCCCTATATGTGGCAGAGGGAGAGGTATTTGGGGTGGACTTTGTGATATGAAGATTAAGCAAGGGCAAGTGGAATGGAGAGATCTGGAGTTAAGCAAGGGGGTGTGTGCTGGGCAGGACAGAATGGGACGGCCTAGTGTGCACGCTACTGGCTTTGAAGCTATTAATATCAGGCTGTGTGTCTGGCCCTCTTTTCTGATAACCTTCCCACACATAGTCATGAGAACAGACGTTTGGCATATAAACTTGATCTCTAGCCATAGTTGAGCTGGCCAGAAGGAGGCCCTGATCCAAGACAGAACAAGTCACCTCCTTCCCAGGGTTTGGCACCTGAAAATAGTTCTCATTGGCTGAAGGGATCCAGGACACATCCGCATGAGGGGTGTGATGTAGGTAGACAAATGGGGACGCGTAAGAAGGGCTGAGAAATTGCCCAGGGCCTGCCTGGTTCCAGTGTCCTGAAGCGGGGCTGCATCTCTGTTTTCAAGACAGCACCCTGTACCCTCACTATAAAATCCCCTGTCCTGCTTGAGCTAATGGGGGCTCTTTCTGATCCCTGGAACCACTCGAATGCTGGGACAGCAACCTTTACTGGGGTCGGGGGCTCTGGCTCGAGAACAAAGTGAGCAGCAATCAAGGGAGCAAACCCAGCTAGCTCCCTACTTGATCTTCCCCCAAGCCCCCGCTCCCCCAACCTGCCCTCCATGCTGCACCATGAGCTGTGACTTGCAGCTCCACAAGAGCCAGGCTGTCTCTGACTCTGGGCCTTTGTCCGGAGTTCCCTTCCTGACTCTTTCTTCTGACCCGCACCGCTTTAGTTGCCTGGCTATTCAGCACAGATAATACCTGCTTGGCCCCCATGTCTAGAGGGGCTTTACTCCAGGCTGTGCCATCCCCCACTGCAGCATTTTGTGACTGTCCGTGGGCTCGGGTGCAGCCTGGGCACAGGGACTCTGCACAGATCCGGGCTAGCATCCTGGCCATGAGCTCTGGGTCAAATGCCCTGGGAGTCTTACATGTGAGTCTGTAGAAATGCCGAATGAATGAATGAAAGACACAGTCGTGGCTGGACAAATCAGCCTTTGCCCAGGGGAAGGGTCAGGGATCTGTGGTCAAGGGAGAGTGAAGGACAAAGGTCCTGGTCCCAGCCAGTGTGGGAACAGCTCCATTTCCTTCCAGCAGGAGCCTGACACCCAGTGACCCTGGAGCCAGATGCTCAAAGGCCGTGACAGCTTCAGGGAGGCTGGACCCAATTTTCCCAGCAGCATCTTGACCCCTCAGATCACTAGAGATGTGGGTTCAGCCTGGATGCCTCCATCCCTAGGTCCCACTGCAAGCCCAGGAAAAATTGCCGTTTCCAGATTGAGGATGAGCACAAAACTCCCCCTCCCCTCCCATCACGAAGCCTCCCAGCCTCCCACAGCTGCTTCCCAGGGTTCCCCCACCAACCTGCCAGGTCCCGCTGGCGGCAGCAGCTGCTGGGCCGGAGGCCGCAGAGTCCCGAGCTGGGCAGCCGGACAGCAGAGCACATCCAGCACACCCCTCCTCTCAGCTTCATGGTGCCCCCCAGGTTTCTTTCCTCGGCACCTCCAGCTCCCCGCCCCCTTCCCCCCAGCTCGCGCTGATGAAAGAGCCGTGGTGCAAAATTTGCTGGGGAGAAAAACAGGAAGTGGAAGCCGGAGAGCGAGCCTGCAGCAGCGCTACCCAGGCACATGTGGCGGCCCCCTTCCACCCGCAGCCGCGCAGGAAAGTGGTGGGGGGGCAGCCCCAGCCCGGACTGCAGGGGGCGGGGAGGGCAGAGCCCTGCAAGGACCCTTGGCCACCAGGGCTTATTTTCAGATCACTCATCACACCTGCATCCTGCATTTTACATATCTCACCTTCTCACAACTCCTCAAGATGAGTACAATTAACCCCATTTTACAGATGAGCAAATAGACTCAGAGAAGTCAAGTGACTTGGCCAGGGCCACACAGCTTTTCTCAAGGCTGGGTCATGGCTCCTTGGTTCTTTCTCAGGCTTTGATTTCTATTTGTGGGGTGTTTTTGTTCTGGGCCTGTGCATGCACAGTGGGTGGGGGGAGGCAGGAGGGGGAGAGCTATTTCTGGCTCCTTCATCTCAGTGCCTCGAAGCTGGTGGTAAGAAAGGGGAGCAGGGCCAGCTGCTGAGAGCCCATCCCTTGAGGTTCTGGTTCCTGGAATGTGTGATCTAGAAGGACCAAGTGCCCTGGTCCTTTGTTGGACAAGAGTAGGGGCAGCCAGGGAGAGGAAGTAGGCCAACCGACAGAGCAGAGGGTGGGCACCAACCTCCACGACACAATCAGGTATCTATGACCTCAGCCGGCTGGCAGCCCAGCGGACCCGGAACTTCAGGTGAACTCAGAGCCCACTTTCCTTCCCAGGCCTGGACTCGGGGTAGCCCCAGGCCTATTGCTTTGAGCCTGAGAGGCATTGTCAGGATGAGACCCCAAGGAGCAGAGGTGGCCTGACTGGAGTGAGGTGACAGGGTGGGGAGTTCTCTCCAAGTCCCCAGTGGGCCCCAGTTGTCCCCTGGCCCAGGGACAGGAAGCTGGGCTCACCCTGCTTGCCCCTCACTGGGACAGACCCCAGCAGGCAAATGGGGCTCCTGGGGACCCTCCCCACAATTCCTCAAAGCCTTTCCCAGTCCAGGGCTCCCAGAGATCTGCGGCTTGGTGCACAGGGGCTTGCCCTGTGCCTCGGCACACTTCGCCACCCACGTCTACTTCCTGACTACCACCTTTTTATGCCTGGGCATCCCCCAGCATTCCACAGGGCTCTCAAATCCAGTTCTCCGGGCCTGCCAGTCCTGGCTGCCCTCTGCGGAAGACCCTGCTGCCCACAGACCTGGAGGCTGAAACCACGGTGCCCACCGCACACCACCGTGCCCTCCTCCTGCCCCCAGAGGCACTGTTCCCAGACACCTCTGGGCACTGTCAGACCACAGCAGAAGCCAGTACGGACAGGACAGGAGGCACCCGCCGCCTCGGGGGTTCCAGGGCTGCTCTCCAGGTGGTGGGGCCCCACCCCGCCCCACCAGCGGTCTCTGTTCCCTCTCCGGGTGGGCTACTGGTTGCAGGACTGGGAACAGGAGGCCCTCAGCCTGCAGCATCCCTTTGGGTAGCGCCTCAACTCTGGGTGGTGTCCAGGGACCAGTGGGGGGCCTGGCCTCCTTTCCTTTGTGGAGGAGGCTCAGTCTCTGGTTCCCAGTCACTCCCATGTAACAGGGAACTATAAAAATGAATTAATATATGTAGTAAAGTGCTTAGAACAATGCCTGACCCTTTGTGAGAGCTCAGTATATGTGTTTATTGGCATTATCCAATTTAACCCTTACGACCACTGTGTGAGGTCAGGATTAGACTCCTTCTTTACAGGTAAGAAACCGGAGGCAGAGAGAGGCAAAGCCACACGCCTAAGTTTACCCGGCGTTAAGTGGCTGAACAGGGATTTGAATTTAAGTCTGTTGGCAGCACGTGCTCTCAGCCCCCGGTTGTTACGATTTCCAGGCCCCTCAGGTTTGGGGCCAGCTTTGGATGTACAAACACATACACCCCTGGAGGGCTGGGGGCCTGCAAGTCTGCCCCCCGACAGAGGGGCTAGTGCCGGCGCAGCCTTGGAGCGGCCCAGGCCCACGCTGGGCGACCGCTCCCCCAGTCGCGGGTCCTGGGGGTGTGGCTCCAGGGAAGCACGGCGCCGCCTGCTGGCGAAGCTGGGAAAACGCCGCCACTGTCCCGGCCGCGCAGCACTGCGCTCAGCGGGAGCTCCCTGCCGCCGGTTTGACCAAGGTGTGTCGTGATTGCGCCTAGCTAGCGATACGCAGAACTCGGAAATCACTCTTTCCTGCCCAGCTTCCTCCTGGGATGGGGAAACGAGCACAAACGCTCGTGTTGCTGTGCTTCGGTTGCTGGTGGTTTGGGGCGGGTATTGAGCTCATTTTGTGGAAAATATACTGTATGTTCACCGGAACTTTCTATTTCTGTCTCAGTTCTCACACTCAAGAGGAGGATTATTCCAGAGCCGCTTTCCCCCGCTTGGCTTGGTGCTGGGCAGCTCAGTCGGCCATTGCTCCTTCCCCCTGGGGGACTCTGCTCAGCGGTGGCCCCAGGCTGCAGCCCGCTCTGCGCTTTCCTCCCCAGCCCTGCAGCCCCGGGGCAGCTCCACCCGGGCACCTGGCAGGCAGTCCCCTCTAGCGGAACCAGCCCGGTCCTGCACTTCCTTCCTGCTTCAGTGACAGCTGTCCTCCTTCTACCCGCCCGCCACCTCCAGCCCCCATGGCCAAAGCCGAAACTCACCTCGAGTCCCCCTTGTGTCCCTTCCTCAGCCACATGCAGGTGTCCCCAAGCCTCCCTGTCTATGCGGCTGTCAAGGGCAGGGGGGCTACAGGCCTCACTCACTCATTCATGAACATGGTGTTATGTGCCACCAGACAGGATCCTAAGTGCTGAAGATACGGGTGCCCGGCTGAACCTCCTGCCTCTCCCCATGCTAGTGGGGGAGGGGGTTGACACAGAAATAGGGAAGAAACAAGTTCCTTCATCCTACCTTGCGTGGGGGCAAGTGCTACGGAGAAGACCAGGCGCCCTCCTCCTCGGCTTGGGCGTCACGCCCCGCGTCGGGCAGCTGTGCCCTCACCCCGCTCGTTCCCTGGGCTGTGGACCCATGCGAGGACTCCACCCCACCCCCTGATAGGCCCGCCAGGCCGCCCTTCTGCGGGGATTCCCTCCTCACCTGGCCACGAGGAACGCCCACACCTGGCCCCCCAGGACAGCTGCTGCATGGCCGGCCGCCTCCCTCCCGTGCCTTTCGATTGAGTCGTTAAGGAAAGAAAGGGGAAGAGGGAGAGAAGGCAGCCCCTTAACTTGATATTTTGAAAAATTCCAAACCCTCTGAGGGTTGTACGAGTAAATGCCTTACCCCCCAGGGATGTCTTCAGATGGGGGAACACAGCTTGGTGGGACCCGTGAAGGAGAAAGGGACACGGCGGCGAAGCAGAGCAGGGCAGCTGCTGGCTGGGGTCCCTGGGCGGGACCAGGTGCGCGCTGGGGGCGCTGGCCCCGGGCGCGCGTGGGCACAGTGCCGCTGCAGGGACAGGCACGTGGGTCTATGTGGCGCCTGCTCTCCTGACCTTTACCGCCTATTAATTAGGAAGGAAGCTCATCCGCTGACTCAGCAGGTGAGGGGAGGAGGTCTGAGAATGGGAGAGGGGACCGGAGGTGGAAAGTTTCCCTAGGAGCTGAGGAGAGGGCCTCTTTGGCCACAGAAGCCCCAGGAGGTTTTGTGGTCACGGCTAACGTGAGACCTGCTGTTGCTCCTGTTTTTCTCCAAGCTTTGATCAGAGTGGGTCTGTCCCGCCAGCTTCTCCTGCTGCCCCTCAGTGGTGGTCCTGTCCCCTGCCTGTCCTCCTGGTGGAGCAGGTGTTGGCTCTGAGCGCCCAGCCCAGTTCCCTGTCCCCTGAATGGCACCAGCAGAGCTGAAGGCTCCCTGGTCTTCAGTGTCAGGACCTCAAGGCCTGAGGCTGGGCCTCCGGAGGCCTCCTCCTTGGGCTCTGAGAGGCGCAGGGAGGAGGGGGTGAAGGGAGGCTTTTTCCGGGCTCAACCAGGCTCCCTCCCACCTTCCTCTGAGAGGGGCCTCTCCGGCTAAGCTGGTTGGAGTTGATTTCTTCCACTTTATCACCCTGAACATCTCGGCTGAACCTCCTGATTCCAGCCTCTTCCCTCTAATCCATCTGCCCTCTAGTCCCTGCCAGATCCTGTTGTAAAAGCTTATTGTTCTATGGGTGTTAGCTAGGTAAGAACACTTCTGGAAAGTTCTGGGATCTTGAGTGGGAATGACCCTAACCAGCACTTACCAAGCACAGGCACTGATCTGAGTGTTCTTTCCGTGGTCAGCCCGTTCAGTTCTGACAGGGGGCCTCTGAGTGGCCTCCATGACAATGCCCACCGCACAGGTGCCGTGGAGGGCACATGGCTCTGAGGTGACGTGCTGTGGCTCGACGAGGAATCTGAAGCCAGACCCCCTGGGCCTGATTTGGCCAAGAAACCAAAGGGGTCCAGGTGGCTGGATGGCAGCAAAGGATGGGTGGTGGCAGGACTGACTACCAAACGTGCAGGGTTCTGTGCAAAATGAAAATGCGGGTCCTTGCTAAAAAATTCTGAAGAATTTCAAGATGACGTTTCAAGCAGGGCATTAAAACAAGTGTGGGACCTCTTTGGCCAAGCAGGTCCCACGCCTGTGACACCAGGCCTGGTGGTAAAGAGAGGCAGGGAGTACAGGGGTTGAGAGCCTCATAAGGGTGGTCCAGGGCAGGTTGCAGTAGGTGGTGGTATTCGTGCTGTGGCCTTTGCACAGGGGTCACCCCTTTCTCAACCTTCCAAGCCCAAGTGCAGGGGCTCCTTGTTGAGAGGGGAGACATCCTCTGGGTCCTGAGATGGCCGGGCCATAGTGGGGGCAGGAACAGCAGCCTTGTGATGGAGAGAGGCCAGGAGACAGCATTAGGTCTTTCCTTTTTTGATGTGATTCCTCCTTCCTACAAGTCCCTTTCTCTGAACTCAAAATCCCAGTACCTAGAGGGGTTCTTGTATCAGAACTAGCTACTCCCTCTCTCCCCCGTAGCCACCGGTGCAGGGAATTGGACCTCCACCCCACAGGCTGGAGACATTTCAAACATGCAAGATGTGTGTTCTAAGTGTCACTCCCACACACAGGACTTCCTAAGACCCATCCTCCATTTAGCTGAGCCCGTAGCTGAGAGCACCTTGCACACGTGGCCCACTTTAGTGAAGCACAAGTACTTATCAGCAGGGGGTTGCTTAAAAAAAGTTACCACGAGGAAAAAACTGCGCCATCATCAGAAATCATGTAGAAGAATATTTAATGATGAGGAAAAATGCTCAGGATGTGGGACATAACAGAGAAGCGGCCTTAAAAACAATACCAGCATGCCCATAGTGATCCCCATTTTGTTAAACAGTTGTAACTTTTTTCATTCATTCTCTCACTCATTCATTCATTCAACAAACTTTGATAAAAAGATGAGCCTCCTGGGTGTCAAGCCTCAAGGTACAGACATGGGGGATGGAGACAAGCCCACCCTGCCCTCCAGACAGCCCACGGGAGCAAGGGTGCCAGACAGAAGGGCCTGGTGCTGTGGGAAGGTAAGGCTTCTTGGAGGAAGTGGCACTCAAACTCAAAGCTGAAGGAGAGCTAGCTGGGCAGGGTGTTGAGGGAGGCCCAAAGGTGGCAGAGAGCTCACCAGTTTGGGAACCAGCCAGGCAGACCCCAGGCAGTGGTCAGGGCTAAATTAGGGCCCTGACCAGACCAGATGGTCACCAGAACAGGAGCCATCCAAAGGCCTAGTCCCATTGGGCTTCTGTCCCTGATTTACAATCTTACAAAGGAAATACAAATGGGTAGGAATAATGAGGGTGGTCAGGGAAGCCCCTTGGAGGAGGTGACATTTGAGCTGCTAGGAGGGGCTCCTGTCCATGTAAATGATTTCGAGGAATCCACAATCAGTGCACCAACACCATCCTTGGAGCCCAATCTCACGGGACCCTACAGGAAAATGCCACACTGGCCAGCAGAGCCACCCGTTTACCAGGCCCCCTCCTGGGGTGGCCACATAGGCACGAGGACCATAACTCCTCAAGGCATCTGGCAGCTTAAGGGGTGCCACCTAAACGGCCCTTCTGGCCCCTGTTAGTCCCAGACACCAAGAAGATGCCCTTTGAACAAGGGGATCTCAAGTCTGGGGGGCCCCAGAGGCATGGGGATGGCAGTCCCCACACCTCCTTTGCCTGGGTCCAAGGGCAGGACGGAGCTGGAGGGAGGGTGGTGTGGATAAAGGGAAGGTTCCTGTGACCAGGATTCCCACCTGGCCCTGGTCAGCTAGCTCACTGCACACCTGTGGGCTGTGCGTTGTTACTGACTCTACATAAAGAGCTCCGCCCAGTGCTCTGGGTGACACGGTGGCATGGCTGCAAGGCTGCAGGAGAGCAGAGAGGAGTGGTGGCAGCGCTGAGGACAGAGACTGAGACGGCTGGGGGGCCGAGAGGCCCAGAGGCAGAGACCGGCTTGCTGCCTGCAGACTCGCTCTGAGTGGACAGGATTCTACTGATTGACCTGCCACCTGGAAATAAAATTGGGTATAAACTCTTTATAAAATGTTCTACTGTCATTTCTTTGGTCACATTGAATCCATAGTGAACTTGCCCATTGGCAAGACAGGCGGTAAGCCAGGGAGAGAGGGACAGAGGGAGAGAGAGGGGGCAGGGCCAAGCGGGACCAGCCTGCAGGCTTTGGGTGGGACTTGGCGTGACGCTCAGACCTCTCTCCCAGAGCCAAATGCAGGGCCCGCGCAGCACAATCAGGAGCAGGAGAGGCACCAAAGCCCGTGGCCACAGTGGTCCTGGGGTCCTCTGTGCAGTGGATGCCAGCCAGGTTCCAGCTTGGAGCCCCTGGGCTGCCTCAGTGCAGAGGGAGGGAGGAGCCCTCTCTCGGCTCCTGTGAGTTAGCTGCGCAGTCCCCTCCCCAGACCTCTCCCTGGTTGCGGGCATGTCTGAAGGGGCCACTCGGCTCTCCACTTCATTGTTGCCAACCCTGAAAATGACCTATTATGAGGACACCAACGCCCCTCACTTCAGGAAACCTGGAGACCTTGGGTGTGGTGCCCAAGCTCACCCATATGAAAAGGGGGCAGAGACGGGATTTGAACCCAAATCTGTCTGACAGCACAAAGTAAACATCAACCGACTTGCTCCTGGGGCCCCTCCTACACCTGGCACTGCACGGGCCCCTGACCCACCGCTGGGTGTCAGAACTTCACCCTGGCCAGGGGGCATGAAAATCCACCCTCCTTCATCCTAGCCTTTGGGGCCTAATGGGTTTCAGAGTTTGCGGCATTTAGATGATAGAAAGCTACCAGGCCCACGCCCCGTGTCACAGCCGCCTAGAGGACCAGGGACACCTTGCCCGTCCCGATAACCAAATTCAGGGGCACCGGTCGGTGGAGGGCACGGGGGGAGGGGATGGAGAACGTAGCATCAGGTCTGTACAGGTCAGAGATTTTGCCAAGTGAGTCTCTGCTAAATTTAAACACTTTCTGTTTTCAGAGCTTTGGGGGCTTCAGAATTGACAATAAGGGATTGTGACTCTATATGTCCCCATTTATAGACCACAAAACGGAGGCACAAGAGGACAAACAGAGGGTCTGAGCGTGAGTGGGAAGTGGCTGAGCTGGGATTTGAATCAGGACGTGCTGTCATCTTCAGTGCCCCCCCCCCCAACCTGTCCCTCCCTCCGCATTGTAGTGACTACGTATAAAAAACAAAAAATACAAAACAGGTGTTACAGCCAGAGCGCCTTTACACCTTTCCCTCACTGACCCTCCCAGTTGCCAGGCCTTTCCAGGGGGAAGCTCAGTCTCAGCAGAGTAATAATTTATGCGAGGGGAGTAGGCCCCTCGCCAGCAAGTAGAGGCGGAATCCCATCTGGGTCTGCCCATGTTCTTTCCAACCGGTGGCTAGATTTCCCCCCAACCTCTCCACCTGTGTTCTGGATGTGCGTACACAAGTCACACAAGTACAAGCACTTGTGAACGTGTGTGCCGTACGGAAGGCCCCACAAGGCCCCTGCCAGCCGGTGCTCCCCCGATCATCGCTAACAGTCGGCTCTGAGTTCTTCCCTGGCACGGTGGGTTACATAATGGTGGGGCCCGATGCAGAATGAAACCGAGGGGCTCCTTGTTAAAAAATCACTAAGAATTTCAAGATGGTGACAGCTGAGCATTGTACCCAGCGGGGCACAGGGCCTTTCTGAGCTCGGGGTCCCTGCTGCTGCGCGGCTCTCACACCCACGAAGCCCCCTGCTTCTTGGTCAGCCTCTTCAGTTCGCTCAGAAATACCTGCGGGTCTTTAGATACAAGAAGACAGCTCACTACGCGTGTCCCTCTGCCACTCGCTTTTGCCTTTTTCGTTTATGAGGATAACAAGGACCGCTGTGTCCCTGGCCCTGCGTGGGCTTACCCCACGGCGGAGCTGCAGGGTAAACGGCCGTCGTCCCCATGCACAGAGACGAGCGGTGGCTGGT